CCCTCAAGAGGGCAGCACCATTCCATGGCCTGGGGGCCCAGGACTGTATAAAAAGGAGAAGGTAACCACCAAGAAGATATAGTTGAGTGATGAGGTCCTAGGTTCAATTTAACTCTCTGAAAGAGGGAGAGAGAGAAAGAGGGAAGGAAGGGAGCTAGAGAGATTGATTGATGGTTGATTCGATGCTCTCTACTTTCTGACTGATAACATAATATAACCAGCTACCTGCTGTTTCCATGTCTGCCATGATGGATGGCATCCCCTGGAACTATAAAATAAACCCTTTCTTCCCAAAGTGGCTTTTGCCAGTATTTGTTGCAGCTCTGAGTTAAATGAATAATGTAGCCCTCAAGATCCCTGTCCTGTATAGACTGCACATAACCAACTCTCTCCCTAGAGCACAGACAGGACCTGGACAAATCAGAGGGTGTACACTGTGATCACATGGTACCATCAGACAAAGGTTCAAGGATTCTGTAATTATTAAGGCTTCAAATCAGTTGACTCTGATTAATCAAAAGGTTGATTATAATTGACAGGCTGATGTGATCAGATACAGAAATTCTTAAAAGAGGAGTTAAGCACCTCTTGAAGGAAAACACTGCCTTTCAGTGGCATGCTGTGAGCCTACAGAGCCAGAGCCTCAGGAAGCTCCTGGCCTTGGTCATACAGTTAGAAGCCGTGTGTGGACTCTGCAATAATCAATTCATATATTTTTTTGAGACATGGTTTCTCTGTATTGTTTTGGTGATTGTCCTGGAACTCACTCTGTAGACCAGACTGGCCTCATAGAGATCCACCTGTCTCTGCCTCCCGAGTGCTGGGATTAAAAGCATGTGCCACCAATGCCTGGCCAATCAATTTATATTGTTTTAGGACACTGATTCACTACTGACTTTATGATGAGCTGTTATACAGATTTAGAAAATTGATCTGGTATAGTCACTACCAGAATAGTCAAACAAACCACTACCACCACCACCACAATAAAATAAGTGTAGGAAAGGGGACCTTCTTTTTTTTTCTTTCCGAGACAGGGTTTCTCTGTGTAGCTTTGGAGCCTGTCCTGAAATTCTCTCTGTAGACCAGGCTGGCTTTGAACTCACAGAGATTCACCTGCCTCTATCTCTCGAGTGCTGGGATTAAAGGCATGTGCCACCAATGCCCAGCTACTAACCTAATGTTCTAAGTCTAGCCTTGTTTGAAAATAATGGATCACATGCTGGTTAGTTTCTGTCAACTTGACACAAACTAGAGTTACCAGGGAAGAGGGACCCTCCTTTTGATTAGTCTGTGGGCCAGTCTGTGAGGGCATTTTTTGATTGATGGTTGACATGAGTGGGTCCACCCCACTGTAGGTGGTGCCACCCTGGTCAGGTAGTCTTGGGCTATATAAGAAAGCAAACTAATCAAGCCATGAGGAAAAAGCCAGTAAGCAGAGTTCCTCCATGATTCCTGCCTCTGCTCCTGCTTGAGTGACTGCCCTGACTTAATCTTAGTAGTTGACTGTGATCAGGATGTGTATGCCAAATAAACCCTTTCCTCCCCAACTTGCATTTTTTTTTTTTTTTTGCCCTTCTCCCTCCATGTCAGGTCCCTGTTCTACCCTCCATGAATACAGAGAAGATGATGTCAGGATCTTTAGTAGCAGTCTGGTAGACAAATAAGGCATACACAAGTGAGAAGGTCTGTGAGACAGTAGTGGGGATCTAGGAAGCAGGAGAAGCAGTAAGGAAACTGGCCCAGGTTGCAGAAATGTCCGTCTACCAGGGAAAGACAATGAGGGTTGGCCCAGTTTTAAATAGCTATCACCGAATCAGAGCTCCAGAGGTGACAGCCATGTGAATGACAGTCTCTGGTGTCTGCAGAGTGGGACAGAGGATGGAGTTGAGAAAGCATGAACTCTAGTGTCAGGAACTCTGCTGTACTCTAGCTAGAATGGGTAAGGGTTCACCTCAACGTCTGCAGGTCTGAGAGTACCCCAGAAATAGAAAAACTCAGGGACACAGCCCTGCCATTTGGGCTTCGCCTGCCTGTGATCCTCTGTGAAAGCTCAGGCACATTGTAGCTCAGACAATATTTCACCTCATTCCCCTCATCACCTCCCTTACTGGAGGTGAGGATTAAACTCAAGTCCTGCAGTTCTCTGCCACTGAGCTACATTCCCATCCCTCTACCATGTGGAAGAAGTCCCTGTGCTCACCCTGCAGCAACGACCCTATTTCCCATCTCCTTTTTATTCTCATGCTCCCTTGTCACCCCAACATGTGCTCTCAGAGAATAAAGGTCATTGCAGGACAAGGCCAAGGCTGAAAATGATCCCTGCTCAACCAACTCGATCAGCTGATTCATGTTATAGGAAAGGCACCCGGCTCTTTCTTCAGACTCAGGACTAAGGTGTTCTTTTTTTCGATGAAACTCTAAATAAGCTGTGCTGGCATTCACTCCATCCATTTGTTTACTTGCTCACCTACTTCTTTACTGATAATTATTTGTTTGAACAAATATTCTGTTCTAGGCCCTGGAGACACAGCATCAGCCCTGCAGTAGAGTCTCTAAGCTCTCATGGAGCTGGCATAGATGGAGGAGAATCTGAGCAGTGAGCCAAAAAATGAATAAGAAACTTTGAAGTTTTAAATTGTTATAGTTTTAATGTGTCTCCCTCAAAGGGCACATACTGGGGGCTTGCTCTTTAAAGTCACATATTCATATTGCTTGGAGGTGGTGCCTTTGGGAGATAATTAGGTTTAGGTAATGTTGTGAAAATTGAGGGGAGTATCTTTTATGATTGTATTAGTGGCTCTTTAAGAAAAAACGAAATATGAAAAATAAACCAACATCCTGGTGTTAGGGTGTTGGGAGATGTCATTCTGTAAATATGTGTCTGATTGGTTTGAATACAGCACTGTTGGCCAATAGGGAAGCAAGATTGGTGGGACTAGGAGTCAAGGAGGATTCTGGGAGAGAGAGACAAAGGCAGACACGATATAGGCCACCAGAGTAAGAAGTCCAGACCCTTTTCTCCAGTAAGAGAAATAATTAGATTAACAAGTATGGGTTAAATACTTAAGTCAGAGATAGCCAGTAAGAAACCAAGCAAATGGCCAACAGCTTCATAATTAATACAGTGTCTTGTGTGATATTTGGTAGCTGAACTGGCAACAGAACCCAGGCAGGAATCCTGCAACATTAGGGAACATACATCTCAGCAATGTGGAGGTAGAGGCAAGAGGACCCCCAGAACTCAATAGTCAACCAGCATAGTGAGCCCCAGTTCTCAATGAAAGACCTTGTCTAATAAATCCAAGACAAACAGCATCTGAAGAACATCCTAAGTTGACCTCTGACCTCCACAAGCACACACGCACACATGCACACACACACACCTGTCCATATGCACACATACACAAAAATAAATAAATAAAAGGGGCTTCTGAGCTAGCTTGCAATGCCTTTCCATGTCATAATGCAGCAAGATGGCCCTCCCCTGATGCCAAATAGATACCCACATCATATTCTTAGACTTCCCAGACACTAGAAAACTTTTAATTAAACTAAGTAAATTTTTATAAATTACATTGGATGATTCAGTTATAGATACAAAAAAACAAATGAAGACGTAAGTGCTTGGGTAAAATTTGTCAAGTCATACAAGCTTCCAAACTACTTCTGGGTTTTTTGTCTTAACAGATTTCTTATCAATCAATTAATGACCTAAGTCCCAAACCTTGAAAGTATCCTGGATTCATGTCTCTTAATCATCCTATACTTTCAACTGTCAGTTACCAAAACGTGTAGATTTCAACTCTGAATCTCTTTTAAATCTAACAGCTTTTTTCTATCCTGTGAGACTTCATGCTGAGTCATAATTTGTTTAAATTACTTCAATATCTCTGACAGGTCTGTCTTCTCTGGTCATAGCTTCTTCCTTTATATCATTTATTTCCCTGCTTAGAATACTTGGGGGGTTTCTCTAGTCACATTTAATCTCCTTATCCCGGACCATATGATACTTCATCACCTGCATTTGGTACCTGGGATAGTATCTCTGTTCCAGTATTAAAACAAGGTCTCTTGTAGCTTGGACTGGCCTTAAAGTTACTATGTAACTGAGGCTATCCTTAAACTGCAGATCCTCCTGCCTCTGCCTCATGCTGGAGGTGGAACCCAGGGTTTCATGCATGCTAGGCAGGTGCTCTACCAACTGAGCCACATCTTTGCCCCAAGACCCTTCTTATAATGGCCCATAAGTTCTTAAAAGGATTACACTGTGACGGTATGTGAAGCCCTAAAAGCAAAGATGACCCTGATTATATCTTATTTCCCTGATGAACTTCTCCAAATTTGGAAGTGTAATTAGCACATGAATAGTTACCTTATTTGCAGTGAAATCTTTTTAGAATACAAAATACAGGTGGGAGCCTTACTGTTTGAATGAAATGGACTCACACACCAGACAAATCTTCTCAGCTGTGATACTTATTATAGTATGAGCCATGAGATACTATTACTGACAGCCTAGAACTGAAAAGGGTGGGGACAAATTCCTAAATGCCACCACCCCAGACAGCCCACATCAGCAATTTGATGCAGTACCGAGTCCTGAGGTTTGGTTGTCACAGTTTCTGGTTTCAGACTGTTGCTTGTTACACTGGCAGGAGCTCTCTGCTACCAGGGCACTTGATGTAGCCCGCACCAGCATCCATTCTCCCTACAAGGATCTATTAAACCAAAGTCATCTGGGGAGGACCCCAAAGCTGCCTCTCAGACTATAGACATAACCTTCCATGAGGTCTTTAGAAACTCCCTGAGGAAAGAAAGCCACTTTCTTGACGTGGGATTCTGTTGGGACGCAGGACCCCTGCCACGTGGCTCCCAGTCCATACACATAGAAATGCACGCAGTTCTCACTCATCTCTTGATCACGCTTCCTAACTGCACACTGCCTGCATCTCTCTAAGAGTGTTTGGCCCATAAGGGGCGGTAGAAGAATCCCTTACTTGCATTCAACAGAGTTCGGATCTTCTTTTCTTCTTCGGCTGCTTGAAGCACCCTTTCAGCCAGTGTCTTCTCCTCTGATTCGATGCATATGTCAGCCTCGCGGAGGTACTCCAGGTAGTCAATCTCCCGCTGGGCGCGTTCCACTCTTAGTGCCAGGTTATTGACTGCACTCTTGTATTCACTCGTGTGGGTCTGACACCTCCCCAGCATGATGGAGATGTTTTTTGAGAATTCCTGGAAGTCTTGAATGTATGCCCTTGTTGTTTGGGTACATTTTTCCAGCCCTTGCTTCAAATAGGAAGTAAATTACCAAAGTTACCAAATTACTGTAAATTATTTCAATTATTCAAGTAATACAAATAGTTATTGTTCATAGAAACATATTATTAGAAAAGTATCATCAAAAGGGGGTAAGTAACCCATAATCCTAAATTCATAGGTGCTACTGACATTTAGTATACTAGTTTTTTAGTTTCCCAATATATTTTTGTGACATATATAAGCATATATTTGCATATGATTTTACTAAATATCTGTTTATTTTAACTTCCTGATATAATGATAACATTTACATATAATTATTATATTATTATAATTATGTATTATTTCTCATATTTACTTTTGAAGTGGTAAAAATCTTTTCTCTCAGTATTCAGGTAGGCAGCATATTGCTGTTTTCTATAGTAATGATAGGTACAATAGACTTCTTGGACTTAACTCTTTCGTGTGTGTGTGTGTGTGTGTGTGTGTGTGTGTATGTGTGTGTGTGTGTGTATCTGTGTGTTTATGTGTGTATATTGTACATGTGGAGGCCATAAGGCAGCATCAGGTGTCTTTAACAATCGTTTGGACCTCTTATGCTCTGAGGCACTGTCTCTCATTGAATCTGAAGCTCACTGGCTGGCTAGACTGCCTAGCCAGCAAGCCCTAGAGAACTACCTGGCTCTACCTCCACAGCACTGAGCTTACAGATGGACATTTCTACCCCTTACTTTTTATGTGGATGCTGGGGATCTGAACTCAGGTCCTCATGTTTAGACAGCACACGGTATTGATTGAGTCATTTCTCTTCCACAAGAACTTATTCTAACAGAAACTTTGCATTCTTTTGTCAGTATATCCTCCCTCATTCCTCATACATCTCTGTTTTTATGAGTTCAACCTTTTCAAATTAAATGAACAGTGAAATCATTCATTCAGTGTTTATCTTCTCATGGCTGGCTTATTTCACTTAGCAGCAGAAGCAAGTCCATCTACAGTGTCATGTCTGAGCTCCATTTTAAAGGCTGAACAACATTGTATATGTATATTTTCTTTATCCATATGTAACATAATTTTAATAAGGTGCAATCTTTTTAATTGAAACCCCATTGTTTGTTGTTTGTTCCATTAAACACCTTTAAAGAAACATTTAGTCTTCATTTTCTCACTCAGTGTTAAGAAACCAAAAAAAAAAAACCCTATGTTTCTACATTTTTATGCCCTTAGTTATTTTTTTAGGCTAGATTTCAAGAAATAAGTTACACTCCCTTAAATCTGGCATGAGCTAAGGCTGTAGTAATACTCAATGAATATTTGGTGAAGAGAAGAGTAAATGAATGGAAATGGGTTGCTGGGTCACAGAGTTGGTAGTTAAAGCTCACTTGGCAGCATTGACCAAAACCTTCTCCATGAACGTAAAACTTTTTACTCTAAACATAATTATGATAATTATGTAGGGCACCTTCACTTGGAAGAGAAAAAGCTAGAGACATGAAAAGCTGTAGAAGCAGCACATACAAGAGAGACAGATACACAGAGAGAGAGACAGAGAGAGACAGAGACAGACAGAGACAGAGACAGAGACAGACAGAAAGACAGAGAGGGACACAGACAGGGAGAAAATGAATATTAATATTTCTTAAGTATCCAAGTATCTCTTTTCCCTTTTCCTACTCTCCCACATAACCTTCTCAGCAGACCCTTATCCCTGAGCTGTCAAGCTTCTGCATTAGCCGGAAGTGCTTGTCACCTGGGACTTGACTTTAGATCCTAGTGGTCAGAGAAGCACATATCTTTATCTTCTTTTTTTTTTTTCCTTTTTTTGGTTTTTTGAGACAGGGTTTCTCTGTTTTAGAGGCTGTCGGTCCAGCCTGGCCTCGAACTTACAGAGATCTGCCTGCCTCTGCCTCCCGAGTGCTGGGATTAAAGGCGTGCGCCACCAACGCCCGGCCATATCTTTATCTTCTACAGAACATATCTAAGTGTCTACAGAGCATATCTGATCTTCCAAATCCACATTCAGGGCTGAGAATGTCTTACTCTGTGTAGCAATGAGAGAATGTTTAACTCTCACAGCAGCAAAGGACAATGCATAGGAATTTAGCTGGTGCTGAAGCCGGAGCAGATGTTTGGCGTTTTAAGCAGGCTAGTTTGGTGGTGGGTCCAGAAAGAGAGCAGTAGAGCAGTAAGAGGCCTGGGTCCTGGGAACGCTTCTTGCACAGCTTCCGGGCCTCTGCCGGGACAATGTGAGGAAATGTGTTTGGATTGCTCTGTGGGCTTATTTTACTGAGACTATAGCTAGGTAACACCATCATTTCAACTTACAGATCTTTTAGGAAAACACAGAAAATAAATGTTTGAGATAACAGTGTCCTTGAAAGAAGATGCATAATATGCCAGTTTAACTCATGTAAGAGCCTGTCATTCTAAACTGAAAGGTTGTATTTGTCCCCAAGAACCTGACTGGCTCATAAAAATACTGAATTTTGTTCATTCGCTTTTGTTTTAAGATAGGGACCCATGTAACTTAAGCTGGTCTCAATCTTTGTATGTATCCAAAGATGACTGAACTGCGTGGTCCTCTTCCTGCCTCCATCTGCGGAGTGCTGACATTACAAGTACATGCCAACATATCGGGCTTATGCCGAACTAGGCATTGGACCCATTGCTTTCTACATACTAGGCTAGCACTCTCCCGACTGAGCCGTGTTCCCAGCCCCCGGTTTTTGCCTATTCTAATAAGGTGAAAGCTCAATGTTTAACATTTCCTGAAAAAAAAAATCCCACTTCTCAGCCTAAATCCAGTTAAGATTAAAAAGTAAAAATTCATGATCAGTCTCTGTGGATACTACATTTTATGATCAGTTACCAGTTCATCATAAAAACGGAAAAAGAAAAGCTAGAATCAGTTAGCATCCCAATACAGTGAAAGATGAATGAAGTGTGACTACAGTTACAATTTTATATATGCTTTGAAGACTGAACTACTGGGTTTTAAACGTTCAGCAACCTGGAAATTTACTTAGCTGGTAAGGCCATGTTCTGAGTATGGATAAAACATCCCCCATTTCTCAAAGTAGAAATTTCTTTTTTTTAATCTTCAGAATATCAATTGAAGTTAAATTCTGTCTACATCCATTTTACAGGTGAGGAAAACTGCCAGGGCAAAGCGTAGAGTGAAGCCTCACTCAAAGTCTAGAGCGGTCTGGACAGGAAGTGTTATCCTGAGCTGCTAGGCTATGCAAGTCTGTAAATGTAATCATAGCAATGATTCATTCTGTATCTGGAAGACATGCATCCTAGCTGACAGGAAAGTCCATAGAGTGACTTCCAAGAGGCATACTCCCAGTGAAGGGAACACATGTCACCTACCTCCAAGACTTGGAAGCGCTGGTAGATGTAGTGTACCATAGCTGGGTCCTGGGCATGTTGTGGTGGGGGCAGAAATGCTGAGATGAAGAGAACCAGTAAACAAGCTCCCCGGAGAGCCACCATCATCCTTCACCCTCCCCAGCAGCAGAGTTTCTTACACTTTGCTTCTCTAAAGAAACTCAAGGTTCCAGGTAGTGATCTCTGCTTTTCTGTCTGCTGCTGTGGCAATTCCTTGGAAAACAACGCTTCGCACAGCCAGAGAACAAAGTCTGCTTGTTATTCTATGCAGTGCATGATCTCAGTTTCAAGCTGGTGATCAAGTCCAGCTGTTGGCAAGTCAGTCCCTGGAGGCCTTGCTTGCTCACTTGGTGCAGAGAGCTCCCTGGGTCCAGCAGCTGCTGCCCTCAGCCTGGGCATGCACAGACCCTTTCCAGGCTAGTGGCTGCATATTGCTTCCAGGTCTAGGGTGTATTGATTGGGAAACGGGTGGGGAGGTCTTTCCTCCCCTCCCCCAGATCTTTTACTTTTGTTTTCCTCCTCCCTAATGGACTGTGCAGTCCAATCATAGGCCTAACTCAATACAGGCCACCCTCAAGTTCTCAGCGTTGGAATTTCAGTTCAGTTTCTGGCAAAAATCTTTTGGATCCTTTTCCAAGAAGTTCTGTTAGGAGACCCCACCTCTCTTTCCAAACTTCTCTTGCATTCTTGTAACTCTTAAAGGCATAGCAAGGAAATGTGAACACTAGTCTGTAACATCTCATAAAAGCCAGTGTACAGGGCTGAATTGCTTTGGGCAGAGAGGTACAATGGGCCACAGGCCTGGCTACCGGGGCCAACAGCTGAGAATTGTCAGGATTGAACTTAGAAGAAATTTCTTTCCTTTTGTTTTCAGATTTATTTTTTAAATTTATGTATATATGTACACATGTGAATATCGGGGCCTACAGTGGCCAGAAGGTGGTATCAGAGATCCCCTGGAGCTGGAGTTACAGCCTGTCTCATGTGGTTGCTGGGAACTGAACTCCAGTACTCTGCAAGAGCAGCAAGTGCTCTTATGGGCTGAGACATCTCTCCAGCCCTAGAAGAAGAAATATCCTGGGAGGAGAATGAATGATTGACGCAGTGGTACTTGCAGCACTGAGCCATCAGGAGATGAAATTCCATTGTGAGGATTCCTCAGTTGCCAGTGTCAGAATTCCCTTTAGCAGAAGACTAGAAACAGGATGCTTAGTCCAGCTGAAGACAAGCCACATGGTAGAACAAAGCCATGAAAACCTTCCAATTTTATGTTTTCTGTTCTGCTGCTGTCCACCTGTCTTTACCTCTTCTTCCATAGGCAGGCCCAGGACTCCACCTTCATGTTTTCTTTTTTAATGAATCTCTTTCAAAAATATGGAAAGTTGGAGCACCTGTGAAGTATGGAAAGACCCCTGGCCAGGAGTCACAAGACCTGGTTTTGCATTTGGTCCATGCACAGGAAGCTAAAACCTAAAATCTGAGAATTTCCACTGGCAGCTCTTGAATATCCTTGTTCCTAACAGATGCTCCTCTCCACTTTTCTTCGATACTTTTGTCCCTAACTGGTTCTCCTCTACATCCTTGGTAAAATCATAAGCTATAGCTTCTTATTCTTTTTTTTATCATTTTTATTTTAATTTTAAATAGCTTGTTTTACATGTCAATCCCAGTTCCCTCTCCCTCCCCTCCTCCCGCACTCCCCTTCCCCTTCACCCTCCCACCCTATTGCCAAATCCTTCCACATAGGGGATATCTAGAATCTGTCATTTCACTCTGGGTAGGGTCCAGGCACTCCCCTAAGAGTCCAGGCTGAGAGAGCATCCCTCTTTGTGCTATAGGCACATGATGACTGTTTGTATTCCAGGGATAGACACTGATCCACAGCTCAGGGCCCCATAGGTTGCCCAGGCCTTCTCGCTGACACTCACATTTGGGGGTTCCAGATCAGTCCCATGATGGCCTCCCCACTGTCGGTCTGGGGTCCAAGAACTCTCCCCTGTTCAGATCAGCTGTCTCTGCTGGTTTTGCCAGCCCATTCTTTGCCAATTTGCTCATCACTCATCTCTCTCTGTCACTGGGTTCCTTGGGTTCAGTTCAGTGATTAATTGTGTGTTTGCCTTTGCTTCCATCAGTCACAGGATGAAGGCTCACAGTCAACACCTTCTTATTCTTAAGAATAATTGCTCCTAGCCAGGCGGTGGTGGCGCACGCCTTTAATCCCAGCACTCGGGATGCAGAGGTAGTCGTAATCCCAGCACTCGGGATGCAGAGGTAGTCGGATCTCTGTGAGTTCGAGGCCAGGCTGGACCGACAGCCTCCAAAACAATACAGAGAAACCCTGTCTCATAAAACCAAAAATAAAAAATAAAAATAAAAAGAATAAAAAGAATAATTGCTCCTGTTTCAGAGAATAATCTGTGAACTCCTCCTAAAACTAGCTGAACTTTAGCTGACTTCCCTTAAATCCTTATTAAAAACAAAATAAAAAACACCTCTGTGAGTTTGAGACCAGCCTGGTCTACAGAGCAAGTTCCAGGACAGGCTCCAAAACAATACAGAGAAACCCTGTCTCAAAGAAAAAATAAAAAACACAATTGACTTCCAATCTGTGTCTTTCTACCCTTAAATAATCATAGCTCTTAGCATAGGACAATTTTTGTTGTTGTTGTTCAGTGGATGGTGGTTGACGCACAAACTGACAACTGATCAAACTACCGAAAATAAGTGACTATGGCGTACTCAGCTACAAATGGGACATCTACATCCTAACCCTTCCTCAAGGCTCAAGCACTATCAGGTAAAAGGGGACAGAAGGAGTGTAAATGCCTGAGGTTGGAGAGGACCAGAGCAAAATAGTATCTTTTGGACATGACAGGACCTCTGTACCCACTAATTCGCAGAAGGCATGGTTTCCTGCAAAAGATCAAGCCAGACAACTTCCAGCTTGGAGTAGGAAGGACTTCATGAGTCTCCACCCATCAGGAGCTGTGGACAGCTGATGGTTTCTGGGGGAAAGAGAGTCAGTGTTCTTCAAGGGTGTGGCTCCTGGTGGGTCTACCATGTTCCAGTGGACAGGCCTAGACCCAGAGCTATATGGACAGTACATATCGAAGTTGGGAGTTATTTTAAATAGGTCTGAAGGGTTGAGGAAACAGTTCAGCAGTAAGTACTTGCTGAGCAAGCCCACAGCCCTGAGTTCCATCTCCAGCATGCCCCCCCCCAAGTCTTCCTGACTCAGGATCCTTTCAAAGTGGGAATGCTCTCTCCAAAGCTGCTGCTGCTGCTGCTCTTCCTCCTCGTCCTCCTCCTCCTCCTCCTCCTCTTCCTCCTCCTCCTTTTGTTTGTTTCTTTTGGTATTTGTCAATGAGGGGGGTTTCTCTATGTTGCCCTGGCTGTCCGGGAACTCTCTCTGTAGACCAGGCTGGCCTCGAGTGCTGGGATGAAAGGCGTGCACCATCACTGTCTGGCTTCACAGCTTCTTGTACTAGACATTTTTAAATAAAATGCCCCATGCTGTGCTGGTTTTCTTTCACAAATGCCTCAAGCCCTCACATGGAATTGTGAGCTAAGATGCAAAAGGATCAGTGGGAAGACCTTGTGTCACAGTTAACACTGGTGGTGTGACTGTGCATAGCCTTCCCCCAGCTTTTCTATAACATGCTTACATTATTGATTTTTTAAAACAAGGAAACACACAGTGAAGCCTAAAGAACCCCAGGCAGTGGTGAAGGGGTGTCCCCTTGCTTTAAAGAACCCCAGGCAGTAGTGAAGGGATGTCCCCTTGCTTAGACCTTAGGTGTCTCCTAAGTCTTCAGGCTGCCTCTTGCTTACTGCTACTCTTTTTTTTTTTTTGGATGGGGGGTGGGGTGGATTCCAAAGAGACTGGCTCTGTCTTGGCACACTCCAGCACTCCAGCTCTTAGAGACCCACTGCTGTTTCCTCAGTGTGAATAATCCTGGATCTGTAAGTCTAGGTGTGATCCAAGTGCCTTCCCTAAGTGACTGACCAACACCTTCACTGTTGGTGGCTCCTTTTGCTACACTTTCTTCATGCTAACTAACCACTCTCATGACTAGCAGAGCCCTCTTGCTCTCAGCATCTTCCACTGTGTTGAGAGATACTGGACAACACTGAGAATGTCCGTGAGGAGGAGAATCTGCCTCATCAAGGAGGCAGAACTCAGCTCAGCAGAATCCACCAGGGGACAGGCATTCCTGTTGTTGGTGTTGAGTGGGGAAGTTTTCTGCTTTCTTTTCTTTCCTTTCTGATTCCTTTCTCTCCCCCAGCCTTATCCCTTTACTGGCTATTCCTCACTCCAGCTACCCACCCCCACCTAACAGCTATTGCTTTAATGTCTTGCTCAAATCTTTCAACCTCTTACAAGTAATTGCCTTGTTTCCTGCATGAGTGATTGCAGTGGCCTCTAATTCCCTGTGTTCATCTCTAGATAAAGCACTGACTGATTTATGGCAAAATGAAAGAAGCTCTTTACAATATGACCTTAGCCAACCTTTCTTACTTCAACGTCCACCACTGCCCACATTCATCCACCACAAGAGCCATGTCTGATTGTCTTCAAACTTCAAAGCAAAATTTAATAATGAGTTGATTTCTATGTTTGAATTGGGGGAGTGGTACAACCTAGAATATTTCTCCCATTGTAACAAAAGTTCTTGTTCATCCTCCTTCAGGTCTTCCTACCACCCGATTGCCACCCAGGCAAAATAGCCTCCTCCTCATCTGTTCTAGAACACGTGGAATTCTGAATTCTGGGAATTTGAGGGAAGGTTCTTCTGGACATGGGTACTCTGGTGGAGAGGCATGGGTGGGCAGCTTTGGGACAGTGGATTCGGGAAGAGGAAAGGATGAGCCATTTTTATGAGCTGAACTGCATCCCTGGATTCCTGTTTGCATCCCAGTCTATGCGATTTCAGAATGCAACTGTATTTGGAGACAGAAGTGTTGTATTTGGAGACAGAGGTGGTTAAGCGAGAGTCAGTTCCTGTGATGGATCCTAAACCTGTCTAACTGATGTCACTACAGAAAGAGCAAAATTAGACATAGGTATAGATCCAGATAAAAGACTATGTGGGGGAACAGCGAGAGTGTGGCTATCTGTAAGCTGAGGAGCGTGGCCTGAGAGAGCCAAAGACATGGACACTTTGACCTTGACCTTCCAACCTCTGAAACTGAGAGAAACTGAATGTCTATTAGCTAAGTCACCTGACCTGTGGTATTTTGCTCTAAACACCCACGGCAACTAATATAAGCACTGACATATAAAAAGAATTGAGAGTCTAATAATGGAGTAAAGGGTGTTACTGATCAGAAGTGAATTGACAAGGGGGGCTACCTGGGTGAGATATAGTTGAACCTCAACTCCAAACTTCCCACTGGATATGGGCTAAATACTACAGATGTGCCCTGTTTTTGCTTTTCTTTCCATCAAACTTCCTTCAGAACTAT